ACAGAACTGACTTTGATTGCAACAGAAATGCAACTGAATTCTCAGTTCCTGATTGGCTTATCTTTGTACAGGAGGGCTTTGGCCTGCCTTTCCAATCATGAGGAGAACATGGCAGACAAGTTGCAACTCATTATTCATGTGTAGCATGGACATTGGGTCATGTTTTTTTTTTTGTTGTTGTTGTTGTATTTACTTGGAGCAATTGGGTATCACGCAAATGGTTGATATGCTTATACAACACTTGTTTAATTGGCAACCAGGACCTCACTTCAGCCACACAATGGAAACAAGGAGATGTCCAGTCAGCTAAGCTCGCTAACAGCTTGCTAACACCCCACACATCCACCTGCTACCAGGTCTCAGGACACACTGTAACTTCTAATATGTCAGAATTCAAAAATAAATCCCTGGATGGCCACGGACAGTTCAGTGGTGTTCTGCAGGATGTGCCTCTATGTGGTGGTGACACACTGAGCTCATGCAAAGGTAAGTTAGCCTTAGCTGAAGTTATGGGCTCAGTATTATCATCAGGACACTTGTCAACACTTGAGAGCATGAATTTAGTTTATCCCACTGAATGTTTCAGTTAGTCACATTTGTCATTAAGTTTGTGAAAACTTCAGCTGCTACAAGGCAGCAAGCTACACCGTACTAATGTATTCATGTTGTGCTGACATATGTGATTGTGCAAAACTGTAGTTTGTGTTGTTTGTTTTTATGACATATTTTGCCTTTTGACTTGTACTTGTGTCTCGCTCTAGGCAGTGGCAGAGAGTGTTTCATAAGAGGCCTCTTCAAACTACTATACAGCAACACAGGATGCATGAGCAGAGAGGAGGAACACCTAGAGAGGAGATGGCAGGTGTTCCTTCATGGACCTGGTGGCCAGCACCACTCTGAGACAGCCTCCACCCTCACCTGTGAGCACACTTGCCCAGCAAGAGCAGCACAGTTCGGCTGACGTAGCACCTGGCCTCCCAGCTCTAAAACTAAAATTCAGTGTTCATGACATGGACACAAGGACAGTGAAATAGAGAAATGCTCAAATTTTGTTCAAACATTTCTGAAGTTTACTCTTGTGATGTGGTTGGCCACTCTGCTGCACTGCTGTGATCAATCAGATTGTGCACTATAATAGTAAAATATTCCTTCTGTATGAAGTCATCCTTGCTACATGTGTAGTGTCGGTGTTTTGTTTGAGAGAATCTATAAAGTTTCTCATTAAGTTAGGCCTCTTTCACTTGGTTTACACTATCAGATGATTAATTTAATAAACAAAGAATATTCCTGGGGTGTACAGAAAAGCTTTGCACTACTTTTTCTTATGGCTAGTATGTACAAGCAGTCCTATTTCTCACAAAGGACATCAATAATAGTGGAGTGTTGAGTATATTTTTATTTTATTTAATAGCATCTATATTACCAGAGGTGAAAGATACATTATGAAACAGTGCAGTCAATATTTGAAACACATTTGTATAAATCATATACAGACCAGTACAAGTCCTGGTGTAAATGCTTTAATAAGGTGCCTTGAGATGATCTACCACCCAGTACTTAGTATGGAGACCTGAGATGGATGTTAAGAACTTATGTCCACTTTTATTTAAAATGTGCTAAACTGATGTAGTTAAATCACACAGAGAAAGATTTATAAGGATAATCACCTTTATTGGCCAAGTATGTTATGCACAAAGAATTTGTCTCCAGTACAGAACCAAAGCAGCCATCTGCAGCACCAACTCAACCGATGGCTCTAACCATCGAGGACAACAGGGGGAGGGTTCAGTGTGCCCTGTCCAAGGACACTTTGACGCATGGATTGCTGGCACTGAGACTCAAACCTTCAACCTTCTGGTTAGGAGACGACTGCGCTACCCACCGCACCACTCTCGCTTATTCTAATGGTCATGTTTCTCCACATTCTTAATCTCAAAAACCAGCAGAGAAACCTAAACGATTATTGTGCCATCTAACTCCTGAATACACTACAAAAACAAGAAGTAATGTCAAAATAAAAGCATGAGAACGGAAACAGGTGGAACAGAATCATTACAGTTATCTCACTAAGGTGTAGCTTGCTGCCTTGTAGCAGCTGAAGTTTTCACAAACTTAATGACAAATGTGACTAACTGAAACATTCAGTGGGATAAACTAAATTCATGCTCTCAAGTGTTGACAAGTGTCCTGATGATAATACTGAGCCCATAACTTCAGCTAAGGCTAACTTACCTTTGCATGAGCTCAGTGTGTCAGCACCACGTAGAGGCACATCCTGCAGAACACCACCGAACTGTCCGTGGCCGTCCAGAGTTTTATTTTTGAATTCTGACACATTAAAAGTTGTGTCCTGAGACCTGGTAGCAGGTGGAAATGTGGGGTGTTAGCGAGCTGTTAGCGAGCTTAGCTGACTGGACGTCTCCTTGTTTCCACTGCATGACTGAAGTGAGGTCCTGGCAAAGGTCAAAGGTCAAAATGTGGTCGTCAATTAAATGAGCGTTGTATAAGCATATTAACCATTTGCACAATACCCAATTACTCTAAGTAAATAAGAAAGTCGCTTTCGGCTTTTCCCGTTTAGGGGTCGCCACAGCGAATCGTCCCACTGACGACTCGCAAGTTGACATTTGGCACGTTTTATCCCGGATGCCCTTCCAGTATCGTTGCGTATCTTAGAGAGAATAATAGATTGTGTAGGAGAGTATGGAAGTAAATAAAGAAAAGCATGACTGTACATGTAAGAGGGTATAGTAGTGTGTGTGTAAGAGTATAGTTGTGTCTGTGTGAGAAAGTATGAATTGTGGCCTAAACAGCCTCTCATAAATGCACTCCTATAACCCACACACATCCAATATCTTGCTATAATCATTCTTAAACTGACTTTATGCTATATTTAGCAAATGGCAGACAATTTTTGTTTGTTGTCTACCACAAAAGTACACAGAAGTCTACTGTATATGTTCAACACATACAGTAAATGCATACATGAACTATATATCTTTGCATGCGCTGTTCACACAGTTCTTACACATTTTCTACTTCCTTCCTGACCTACACACACAATAAATAAAAAATGTCCACTCCCCCTCTACATAAATAACACAAATGAATTCAGCTCAAGTCCTTCAAGATGGAAAATAAGATCAGTCAGGGAGCCTTTGACCCCAGCCCATGGCTGAATGAGCACGTGACTATGAAACAGAGAGAGGAGCAGTATGGAAAGTGCACATAAATGATCTATTCAAAAAGTGCTTTTCTTGGTAGATGTTTATATATGCACACACACACACACATTCACTTGTGCATGTATACAGACACACTCATAAACTCTAAGGAGCCAGTGTTTGTGCTTTGGGGAATTGGCAGGAAATTTAACAAATTGCTGTAGTTAGTCCCAGTGTTCAGCACACTTCAACACCTCAGCTAACAATACTATTTGCTGAGACTTATTCACAGTAATTTATATGACAGCCTTTGTATAGAAGTACATATACACACACACGTATATATACAGTATGCAGGCTGAGTTTGGCTTCATTAGAACTATGGATCATTTCTTAGCTAGTTAAAAAGCAATAGATGCCATTTACAGTACGCTGTATATCTTGTCTTGAAGACACCAATGATATTCCTTTCTTTGTTTTACTTTTTAAGTTAACTAAATGTATCCTAAAGTGTTGTAATTTAAATCTTATTTATTTCTGCATTCATTCAGTCAATCAATCAATGTACCTGTACATTCTTATAGCTGGAGCTTAAGTGCAAAAAGCATGAACTCAAATGGACACATAGGATGTATGGTCCAAGGTTTTTCCAGGATCTTTGGATCACTCTTCTCTGGATAGCACTGTTCTGCTTAGACGTATTGGACCATCAGTGGTCTGCTAATCTCAGTGAGGCAGACACACTGTGCCCTCTCCTCCAGCAGCAACAGGATATGAGATGCTGATCAGATTTCTATAATCAATTTACCAGAGCAGGAGGTGTAAATCCTGTCCATTCACTCAGTCACCCTCT